TCACGCCTGCTCCATTTGCCTTTTTGGAATTGTGGCACCGATCCGTTGGAACGGACCACGATCCTTAAACTGTACTCCTCTGAAACTCAACATAAGTTCATACTTTGGGAAGTAAATGTAACTGGTCTTGGGAAGTAAATGTAACTGGTCTTGAGGGGACACTATGTGGAGTCCACAGGAATCTTCAGCTGAGTGGAGGTTTTTGAACCTGTGGAGTACCAGAAGTAAGGAGCGCCATCTGGCTCCTCCCATACTATGGACTGGGGTTTGCAGGAATACTCCCCCCACACACACACTGCTGCTGGTTTCTCAGCAAGGTTGTGCTAGATAAATGTACATGTACTCTTAAGAAGGTTTCCATGTGTGATGGCATGCTACGACGTATGCACTCTTGCCTGTGGACTGTTTTGTGAGTTTTGAGGTTTCTAAAACCTGCCGTCTGTAGTAGAGCGTCAAACCAATAAGCTTTGAAAGCATTCCGACAGGCATTCTTCGTTTCTAATCATGTTGGGGAGGGTTTATGTGGTTTCTTGGCCTGGAAAGCAGGGGGAGGGGGGGAGGTAGGTTGAAGAGTGTCCTCAAGGTTTTCTGTTCCCTTATTCAAAATACTCATTGGGTGCTCGCCCAGACCCTACCCCACCATAAGGCCTTAATTATTCCCGTAGCCCATATGAAAAGAGAAGCTGCCGCCAGTTCCTGCAGCAGTTACCGGGTCCACTTCATACCTATGGCAGTCTAGTGGTAAAGCTTCTCAGCTGCTGGATGCCTGTGCGGATTATGTTTCATTACTGCGCCATCTTAAAAACTCTGCATGTGTACGTGTTAGAGAAGCTGGCTACACTTAATCTTCTAGCTTGACATACTGTCTCCCTTTGGCAGAGGAACTTGGAAATGTGCAGTGCGCGTGCACATACCCATCCATGAAGCCCACAGCTTTGATAGTGCGGTCCAGTGCTTTACCACTTCTGCAGGTAGTATAAACAAGGCCGTAAGCTGTAATTGAATGTTTTGACCAAATCCATTCCAGCTGCTCCCTCTTGGAGCACAGAGTCCGTGAATGAAGTGGCCATTACTTGCCTCTGTTCCTTTGCAGGGCTCATTGCCCGTGGTTCAAGTACAGGCTTAGAAAAGCCTCCAGAGTGACTGAATAGGGAATATTCAGCAACTGCCTGCCCTCAGTGTCCCAAGACTGTAAGCAGTTGGCTCTGTAAAGCTAGCTTAATGCCCATGAAATGAAAATGTATGCCCCCCCAAAAAAAATTACGGAAGAGTAGCATTGGAAATGCCTGATTTCTCTGCAGATGCCTAGGGCACAAGAGTGTGCAGTGGGAGGGGTGGGTTTTTGGGGAGGGCAGGGGAAAGTTGGTTAAGGATTCCAAACAAACCCAGCGCTCTTGTTAGTTGGAACTAATAGTTGAAGTCACTGAAGAGAGATTTTGGTGGAATTGAAAACACGCCGATCACAAACAGCACCCACACTTAACCATTGTTGTCAATTGTTCTTTTTTGTTTTTGTTTTTTAATTTGTTGTTGTAATATATTTGAGGGTTTTTTTTTCTAATTTAAATTCTCACTATTGCCTGACTGTGAACTGCAAACAGTGTTAACTTGATGTAAATAAGGGCCCCGTTGTGTGGGCTCCCTTCTGCCTGTCGTTCCAACAAAGATTTTTTGCCAATTTTGCATTTTGTTTTAAATAAAAGTTGCAATATTTTATTGGCAAATAAACTTGGAGACACTATGCTTTTTTATTGTTGTTCTGCTGTTTAGTGAACTTTGCAGACAAAGTTACACCTACAGAATCGGATGCAGCCCAGCAAGAGGTATTAAGGGAAGATAAGAACATAAGAGAAGCCAATGTTGGATCAGGCCAATGGCTGATCCAGTCCAACACTCTGTCACACAGTAGCCAAAAACACCAGGTGCCATTAGGAGGTCCACCAGTAGGGCCAGGGCACTGGAAGCCCTCCCACTGTTGCCGCCCCCCCCCAAAAGCACCAAGAATTCAGAGCATCACTTTCCCCAGAGTCCCTATCTATACCGTGTGGCTAATAGCCACTGATGGACCTCTGCTCCATATGCTTATCCATTTCCCTCTTGTTCCCTCTGCATTAGAACATTTCCAATTTGCCCAGTCATGTTTTTCCTAGCAACATGGAATGCCATGTGCTTGAGTTTCAACTTGGGGTCTTCAACATTAAAACTATTTGAGGCCCACAAGGCCATTGGCTGGGCAGCCAGTTGCCCATTCATGTTGTAGTATTAGTTGACTACGTTGGAAGGTCATTTTGACCTACAGGTCAGAGAGCAAATGATTACTCTGCACAATTTGTTCTACTCTCTCTCCCTCCATTGTGGTCATGTTAGCTTTGGTCGTGCATGCTTTTATCATTTGGCAGACAAAACCAGACAGCAAATACAGCCTCGTAGTATCTTCTCTGGCCAGCAGTCATAAAGCATAATAAGCAAATAGAACTCCTGCCATCTGTGTTACACTTCTAGGCTCTGGCCTGTGCTCCCTGGACAGCCGTTCTTTGCTGCCTCGGCAAGAAGCATTTTGCAGCGCATGTGGAAATGGCTGCACGCTGTAAATGCACGTTCATACATTTCACTGGATGTAGGTGTCCAGGTAAGTGGAATTTGGTTCTGACTTGGTGGCATGTCTCACACACCCAACGTGATGGCTTAGGTATAGGTTGCACACGCAGTACTCTCTGAAGGGGGCTCTTGAGAGCAAAGGGTCCCAGTTGCAGACACGTTTTTCCATAAGTGACGATCCACTTTCCCTTGCAGTTGCTGAAAACAGGAGCCCTTGTTTCAATACCTTTAGAGATTTTATACAGGGGAAGGAGGAGTTCTGTCTAGTACATTTTTTAAAAAATCCCAGCCTTTCTGCGATGACCTCAGGATGGCGTACATGGTTTGCCTTTCCCCCCATCTGCACCTATCCTCACTGGACATGCCTGTGTATTTTCCTTTCGTAAATTGGTTCTTCAAGAGAGCCTGTTTGAAGCCACTTGCACAATGGGACAGAACGCTAAATCTCAGCGAGAACATAAAAACGGGGTAAAACATTGAGCAGCCGAAATGGACTGTTCTCATTCTCAGGCTTGGAACCAAACTATAGAAGTGGGAAACAATCACTCCCTTAATTAAAAGCCTGGGTAAAAAATGCAACTTCTTCTGGGCCCGTCCTCTAAAAAAAATAGTATGGTAGGCGCCAAGCATTCGACAGGTGAGGTGCCACCACTGAAAAAGCCATTTCTGGTCACCACCTGCCTTACCTCCATAAGCAGGGGGACAGAGAGCAGGGCTATAGGGAGGCATATCTCAAGTGGCAAGATGGGCAGAGGCAGGCTTTCCAAGCACTTTGAATTGGGCCTTGAAGAGAAAGGCAGCCGGTGCAGCTCTTTCAGCACTTGGGTGATAACGAGCCTCATGTCCAACTCCTGACTGTAGCCTGGCTGCCTCCGGCCCTACCGGATCCTTGCAAGGAAAGAAGCCTGGATGATCTTGTTAGAAGCCACTGAATACCTGAGTTTTTCTTCTCCGATTGCAGGTTCTTAGTTCATTTTTCTCTAAACTGTATTTGCGTCATCTTGGGCGTCTTTATCGCTCACTTTGATCAGAAAAACAGAGTAGAAATTATCCCAAGAGTCTGCGGAGGGCCCGCATGTGTATAGGCCTGCCTTGTGCAATTGTCACACGCAGTTGTGGCCACTGGCTTGATTTCAGGCTGTGAGCAGGGCTCACTTGAAACACGCCGGGAGCCTAAACTATATCAAGTTTAAGATGCCCTGTAGCATTATCAAAAGGGAAAGGGGGTTGTATTTAGAGGTTCCTCATATCCTTAATCTGCTGCTTGCTTAGCTGGTGTGTGAGCACAGCTCTGGCTGTGAGCCTAGGCCTTCTGCAAACAGTGTGTCCACCTGTGAATCACTGGCAGCCAGAGAGACTGGACATATGCCCGCGCAGCTGCGTTGCCTCTTTGGTCTATCCCGACGGGGGTAAGTAATCATTTGCGGATGCAAAGTTTAGCCACGTTTCCAGTTTCAACAGGAGTCAGTGACTGCACCAAGCTTGAGTCTACAAAGACGTAAGTGTGAAATAACAGCAGACACTGGTTCTTGTAAATGGAGTTTGCTTTATTGTAATGACTGTATGCTTATTGCTCAAGGTTCATGGCTGAGTGTGGTGCTGGGTTGGAAGTGCATCGTTGTACTGGGTCATGCAATTTTGACCTTGGACACCGATTGCATGTACGTCCTGTTGGCACCCCCAGCTTTAAATCCATTGCACGTTTGAGTTCCTTATGGCATTTATATATGCTGGGAGAAAAAAACCTAGGGAAGGGGCATGGCTTAGTGGCAGAGCATCTGCTTTGCACGCAGAAGGTCCCAGGTTCAATCCTGGTCATCTCCAGTTAAGAGTATCATGGAGAAGGGGGATGTGAAAGGCTGCTGCCTGAGACCCTGGAGAGCTGCTGCCACTCACCACAGACGATACTGACCTTGATCAATGAGGGGTCTGACTTGACATAAGGCAGCTCCATCTGTTCACATAACCAACTGGCCACAGCTCCCCCAAGCAAGAATACACAACACCCTCTCCCCGCAGCCCCAGCATCACATTAAGAAACTGGAACCTATCCCTTTAATAAAAAGAGCATCGAATCAGTAGGGTGCAGGCTACCTAATTTGTAGCTGATGATCTCCAATGTCTGTGGCGTTGCTAGAACATACTCTATCCCCATTTAGTTTCCAAACAGAAAGGAAACAGTTTCAGCCTTTGGAGAAAAGTCATCCAAAGGGCAACTTTCAAGTCAAGTCTTGCTCCTCTGAGTTAGAGGTCCCCCCCCCTTCAAGACCAACCTCTGCCCCTTACTCAGCAAATGAGAGGGGGGGGGGGGGAGGTGGCCCACAT